GTGGTCTCTGGTAGCTAATGCTATTCTGCTCTGTATGGACACTCGTGTTCTGCCTGGAGCACACTGCAGTGGTTATGTTAAATAGCCTTTGTGAAGGTTTCCAGAGCTCTAAATTAAAAATGCAGAAAGCTCGGAAGGAGGGAGAGAGGGATGGGAGAGGGATGCTTTGTAGCTGGAGCGTTAGAATGTCTTGCTACCTAATTGCCTGAGAACATGTGGGCTTGAATGAATCCTCTTTAATGAATAATAGGCAAATGCATAAATCGCAAACCCCAAGCACCCAAATGATGAAATGTGCACTAATGAAGACTCTGACTTCTCCAACAACAGCAGGTGTAGAGTTGATTTGTAAAACGTCGTGAATATAACAGGTTTAAAATGATATATTTATTAAAAGAAACAAGTCTTCCATGTGTTCCTCTTGTATTCACTCATGCTGCACAACTACTCTTCTTGCATGATATTGCAGGCTGCAGATTCTCAGCAGTTTCTTGCTGTTACTCTTGCCTCGAAGAGCAACAATGGAGACCAATTACCCTCTGTCTCCAGTTGTATTGCAATAAGCCTGAGGTCCCCCCACTACCTTTTCAATTTCAAATCCTAACCCTGTCAGTAGTGCCATTTGTGGATTTGAACTCCCTGGCTTTATGTGCAGCATTATCTAGAGATTCACCTGGTACTGATCCAATGAACCAACGCAACCTTACAAAGCTGAAGGGAAGAGTGTAGAGTTCTCTTTGTATTAAATCATATGCCATGAAAAAGGATTTCTTTAACTCCTTTCCTCCATTCTCTGTATCTCACCTTGTGGAAATGGGTCTGTTAGTGAGAGACTTGGACTCACGTGGTAGGGAAAATGAATGGGGGGCAGGGGGTGGGGAGAAGAACCCAAGAGAAAAGAAGGCAGAGGTCCTGGAGGTTTCTGAAACTTGAAGATTGTAGAAAGTAAAGACATAACTTGAAAGAATAGGAAGCAGCCCTAACAATAAACCTAGCATATGCCTTGATACTAAACCTTCCTCTATTCCAGCAAGAGATGAGAATGTTTTCATTACAGCAGATGTCTAAGTCTGTAAAACCTCTGATAAGTTAAGCCCCCAGAGGCAAGGAGGTTCTGTCCAGACAGTTGCCCAGCAAGCTGAATGCAGGTCTGAACATTTTTTGGTTTAACTGAGTTGAGATGGTAACCTCTTGAGATCTGGCTGTCTCCCAAGTAGGGTGGGATAAATACTGCAAAATGTTTCAGTTTCCATTTCAATTTTGAAGCTCATTTGCTTTGACTGAATTTGTACTGTGTTTATGTAAATTTGTAAACACTGTAATAAATTTATCTACTGGTTGGTAGAAAACAGAAATTTTCGAAAAAGACTGAAGAACATTTATGAAGAACAAATTCTAATTCAATCAGAATAACGATAGAACCTGATTTAAATATAAATTGTCAGAAAACAAAAATATGTAAGTGGCACGTATATCTAGCAAACCCTAACTAGCACAGTCCAAAATTCAAGCAATTGTTAAAGGCTTAAATATTTCACATGACATATATGTCATTTTTATCAGCAATTACTCTGTAATACAAACATCAGGTTTTCATAGTATGAATTACGTCTGCATCAGGTAGGTGAGGTAATAGCAACAGTTTGCTACTTTGCTTGTTGTAGGAAACTCAGTTCCTCCTGATTACACCTTTCTCTAACTGGTGAGAGTCTGTACATATCATTCTTACCTGTCTCTATGTCAATATTATCTTCCATGTTCATCGGCATGACCTCATGGAACGCAGTATTTTCCAATGCCCTTACCCTGGAGATGTTCACCTCCTTCACCTATCACTAATTTTGAAACCACTTTTGTCTTCTCTTGAGCCTGTTGGAGTCTGTGACATCTCCTGCTTTGTTTTCTTCCTTATCACTCTTCAAATGTTTTTCTTAAACTGGCCTTTGGTAGAATTTATCTAGCTTGGTTTATGTTGCCTTTTTTTTTTTTTTTTTTCCTCTATCCTCTTATTTTTGTACAGAGTGCATTAGTTTGATTACTGCACAAAATAAATCTAATCTCAGCAGGAAATATTTGGAAGTCCTTTCCCATTTTGGGAAATACTTAGTCATATAAGGAACCATGCTGAAGCCACTTGCAGTCTGAGTAAGGGAGAGATCTGGTCTTAAATACTGAAAGATACCCTGTTATATCAGTACATAGCTGTTTCCCTTTGCAGAGCTGCTGTTTCCATAGCTTACCTATATTCTCACTTTGCCTACTCGGTGCTTAAAGGAGCAGATGAATAGTTAAGCGATGGAAATAGCATGCAGTGTGTACTAGAAACGAACTGTTTAAAGGTTGGTAGGGGGAATTACAAAGCAGTGCAAGATGCAGTTTTTAAGTTATCCTCAGCTTGCATTGGAGGTACTACCACAAGGGAGATTGCATCATCTGGGAGCAAGAGAGAATAATGTATGCTGGATCTGTAGTAGGCATGTGGGAGACTCTTGCCGTATGTTTTGGTCATGTCCTGATATATGTGAGCTTTGGGAGACAGTTCTACATGTAATAGAGTCAATAATCAAATCTAAAGTAACAAGGAACACAACTTGATGTTACCTTAGAGAGACCACGAGTTTGCAGCAGATAAGTAATAAGGATGCAGTAGATACAAATGTGTCTTTAGGCAAAAAGGAAATAAAAAATAGACTTGAAAGAAAAGAAAAAAAGAAAATTTTACACTGTTGCCGTACTGGAAAGAAATAGTCATGCCTCCATCAGAAATCAAATTAATTGTTGTTAAATTGATAAAGATATGATATCACATCAAAGACTGGCTAAATGATATTTGGAAATTGATTTAGGATTCTATTAAATAGAGCTCAGAGGAGCTTCCCAAATGAATAACTTGTTTGTCAAGTATTGCTTCTTTCTATTTATAAAGACTTGTTGAGCCAAGACAACTATCTTCAGCTATTCTTCTTGCCTGAGCTATGAGATCCATTACTAACAAGAGATTCACAGAAAATTTAGCTATTGCAAAATGCAACACCTGGGTATTTTACAAAAGTTAGATATCGCTTACTTCTGTTCCCTGTAGGGATGACTTATACAGTGTTATCCAAATAGTCCCAAGCCGAAGATAAGAATATTGACAACCTATGTGTGAATTTAAAGTTTGCTTTTGCTGCTCTATGGCTTGCCCACCTCTGTGTATTTTGGAGCTAGAGTAAAATCAAAATATGCTTGGTTTTTGTAGTGTTATTAGTTTGAAATATTTAAATGGGAGACTTCAACCATGGGGGCATATGATTTGAGGTTCTGAACTCTGAAGAAAGTTGTCTTGTAGGCTGTGCATGCTGTTTTCTTGGGAATTCTTTCAAAATATAATAAGATTCATGATGATCACCACAGCTTCTGTTTGTTAAATGAAAACTCATTCCTGTAATTCTGTACTTCTACCAGTTTTATCCCAGTGTAATTCCACCTATGTCTCTGAAAGTACTTCTGATTTTATATCAATGTCTGTGAGATCAAAAGAAAATAGGATTAGGAGAACCGACTGGAGAGAGAATTTACATTAAGACAAAAAATAAAAGGAGAGAAAAAAGAGCTTCTATGTTTTGCTTTATGTTAGGGTGGAAGCAGCAGCCTTAGTTGTCTGCAAAATTGCTGGGGTGTCCAGGCAAGACACACAGCTGTTCTTTGGATGAGCAGACTGGTAATGGCCAAGACAGGGAGGCTATTTTCTCTACTACATCCTGCGTTCATCCCCTCATCTTTCTTAGTATTTCACCTGTCTGTATGCAGCTTTTGTTTGGGATTGATGTATACAGTCGTCTTTTTTGACTGCTAGGGAAGTGAGAGCATTTCCCTTTCTTTTTGCCAATTAAACTAATGTTTTTCAGTCTTCAGATTCTTAAAATTTTTATCAAAAGATAATGCCTCTGGAGTAAATCTCTATTGTTTACATAGGTGTGTTTAAAAGATTAAGGCTGAACAGGCATTTTCATAATAGACCAGGGATCAATGAAAGCCCTTGTTTTCTCAAGAAGATTTAAGGCTTAGCAATGAAGTTGATTTTTTTTGTTTGTATTATGTATAAAGTTGCATTTCTGCCTGGGCTTTTGTTATTTCTGTGGACTTTGTGTAATCTTTCATAAAATTCCTGTTGTGATCTTAGATCACAGTTCCTGACATTCTGCTTCTTCTCACTGGTCCCAAGCTCAGCTTGAGAGAGTAGAAGGGACTTATCTCCCACCTTATATCACTGGCCAGGGATTGTCTGGCTGATCTCTGGAGTAAAAAGGAAAATGATTTCCTTCTTTTGTTTATGCCTCCTCTAGATTTTTAATTTCTTGGGTGTTTCTCCTACCAAGAGCCTCAAATTGCAATGGGGCTTCACTCAGAATGGAATATTACTCCATAGGGCCAAGAGCAGCAAAATAGAATATACAGACAGCATACTGAGAGGTATATGAGTCAGGGCAGGAAGGAGAAGCCAAGGTGGCATACATGCTTTGCTGCCCACAAGATCCGATGGCCAAAAAGCATTCTAACTTAGTGTCTTCGCTGGCTAACTTTTGTATAGGCAATTGCAGAAGGGGAAAAAACTAAGACCCTGGGTTAGTGGAACAGTTACATTCATGCTTTAAATCCTTTAAGCACGTACTTAATGGCCATTGATTTCAATGCTCTTAACAGCTTTGCTGAGTCAAGGCCTGACTGAGGGCAAAGTAAAGGCCTGGAAATGCCCTTCATCCTTGTAGCTGAGGATCTCCAGCTGCAACACAGCACAGATGGGGATCCCCAGGCACAGGCAGGTGCCACACTCCTTTTCCACACTCGTGTGGCCAGCTGGTGGAAGGGGAAGGAGAAAGGGAGCATCTGTGCTGGGAAGGAGAAGGAGGCTGAATGAAAGATAGTTCTACATCTGAAGCCAGAATTGTCGGAAGCCCATATATATATTGTTGTTCTTTTTGTCTGTGTGTGCACAGGTGCTCTCTGATGGGTTTCGATTTAAACCGGCACTGGGCAAATCCATCTCCATGGGCTCATCCCACCCTGCATGGAGTGAAGCAGCTCATCGTTGAGATGTACAACAACCCGGTGAGTGGGGAAGGGAACAGCAGCCACTCACCTCGGGTACAGACTGTCTCCTCCTGTGGGTGTTCTGCAAGCTGCCAGCAGCCCTGACATGGCTTAATCCAGTGGCAAACCAATATAAGAGAGAAGTAAGCACAAACACCCCCACTGCATGAGATCACGGAACATCTGAAGTATCTTTTGGTTGCAGAAAGCATCTTTAGTGGAGAGAGCAAGTGAAATGAAGTTCAGCTCGGATTAAATATGAAGTAATGCTGAAAGCAGACCCTAAATTCAATTGAGCTGCTCTCGTGATGTCCTGAGCTGGATTTGAAACAGCAGGCCCCCCAAATTGAATTACTGAATGGCATTGATGCTTAATCCATAGCTCTGGCAGAGGTTGCTATGTAGCATGCAGAGCAGGAGGGAGATAATATTTGCAAATATTATATAAATACACACGCACACACTCATGCTCACTCAGAGAAGCAGAGGTGTTCTCGAAGGTGAAATCTTAGCTAATCAGAGGAGATGGATTGCAGGGAATATGGAAAAGCGGGAGGCAGGCAGATAGCTATTGAATGTTTGACATCAAAGTGCAGAAGGATTATTGAATGTGGCACCTAAGAAAAACTGCTGAACAACGATGGAGATGGGTAGGAAAAGATCACTACCGAAAAATAAGAGCAGATCTTACAGCTTGTTACTTTATTCTGTATGGAATTTCTGATATTTGTCCTTTCTTTTTGCTTTGGATCTTTATTTTCACAGAGGCTTTTTTTTTTTTTTTTTTTTTTTTTTTTTTTTTCTTTCTGATAGTGTTTTGTTTAAAAAAAAGAAAAAAAAAAAAAGAAGGGACCTGGTTTGCCCAGGGTTAATAAAGAAAGGGTATTCCTACCCTTGGCTTCGTCTAGTGTAGAACAATATCTAAAGAGCTACTTCACTTTAACTCCTGCTTCTGCCAATATATCTTCACTGGACTTTTTCAGATAGATAGCAGTAACACCTGTACAGAAGGTGCTTTAGGCACAAAGACGACAAATTAATAGATAGTCCTAAATAAGGGGAGGAATCCTATTGTATGTAAAATATTTTCTTGTTTGGCTTGCATTTTTTTCTGTTCTGTTTGTGCCATACCTAGCTCTGTGCCTAAAGCTCTTCATCCATCTTATATGTTAGAGTGATGATGATGGAATGAAAAGGAAGGAGTATTCCAGATAGTTTGATCTTTGCTACTCCAAAGAACAATTTCCTTCTAGAAGACAGAGTGTGCAAGCCACTTCAGATGAAGAGAAAGTTCTTTTCTTTTTTTTTTCCAGGGACAAAGAGGTCCTTAAAAATTATGAGAGGGTTGGGTGTAGGGAAAGCACATTAAATAGTAAAGCAACACCTCTTGTCAAAGTTAAAAGTCACTATCAATAAACTAAAGCTATTCTTGGGAGAAAAAAAAAGTATTTTCAACTTTGTCCCATTCCTGGCAAGCTTTAAAGACTCTGGTAGTTTTCCTGTTGCCCTGTGTGCAAAGAATCAATTTATTTGCTCTGGTAGCTGAAATGAAAAATCAGAAGAAATGTTTGGTTGGAGTTGTTATGAAATGGAAATGTTTTTCTCCTCTATCTCTCTGTCTCCCACCCCTCCCCAATGATCAACCTGAGATGAACCAGTTCCAGTTCATTTCCTTCTGAGAAAGAATGGGAGCCTTTCAGACACAAATGTAACATTTCATTTTCAGGGTTATTTAATTTTTTTAAAAAATGCAATTTAGGATTTTTATTTATTTATTTTTTTTTTTAATTAGACTTCTAGCAACATCCAGATGTCTCTTCAGTTTCATTTCTCAGTGAATTAGCTATTCACCAAAAATTTCTTGCCTGCTTTTATGATCCCAAAGTTAGTACCATTGTTGAGGACAGTTTTAGAGACCCCTAGAAATACAGGGCTTTATAAGGGATTATTGCTTGGTTGCATTTTTTTCAGGCAGTAGCAGATTCTTAGTCTCCCTGATCCAGTGATGTTTGTATTTCAGTATATGTGTGTGTGTATATGTATATATATATATATATATATATAAGGTGCTGTGACAGAAAGGGAAGACATGTCAGCTACCTCAGACCCTACTAACAGAGTGCCACAATAAAAACTTGCTTTGAACCAATTGAAGCTGCTGAAAATTGTAAGTACAGTCCAGGTGTACAGTGTACCTTTCATATGGGCAGCACATGATGGCTGGTTGCATGCGAGTGAGCCAGTGGTAAGGAGCTGTTGTCAAACCATGATGGATCAGAGAATCTGCATCCACATTGGTCTGTCCTGTCACCTTTCCCCCCACTGGGGAACATGAAATGAAATAAAATGCAAAGTAATGATCCCTGCAAAGTACTGTAATAAAAAACTAACCTCCATCCCTTCCCCTCTAGACAAGATCTGTCACGAGGAGCTGCCCGCAGGAGATTATGTTCTTTAAAGCAGAGGAAGTTCAGCTGCATGTTGCTATTCCAGAATGGCTTGGTGCAGGCCCCTCAGATATATTCATTCCCTTAAGTCATTTAAGGAAAATTAGCTGCCATAAGAGCATAAAACCACATTTTAAGTATTGCTGCATAGGAGGATTTTTCTTCTGCTGCTGCAGTATGAAAGATAAGCTGTTTCCTTTGAAAAAAGTTCATTCTGGAGTGAGGAGGATGACTAAATAAGTCAAGTGGGTATGAGGCACATACACAATGCCACATGATTCCAGCATTACATGGTCCAGGGCTGAGTGTTTACTATAGTTACTGTATAAAAATAAACGAAAGCATCTCTAGTTCTCTTTTTCTCTAGTTTGCTCTTTTGCTCACACATTTTACAATGTGTGCTTATTTCATTTTTAAAGAGTTTCAAATTTCATAGTGACCACATATTAGGAGGAAGAGGATGGGTCAATATATAAGACACCAAAATCTTCCAGTCATTCTCTGTCATTGATTTGGAAACAATCACTCCTGATAGTAAGTCACTGTCATTTTGTTGGCTTATTTGAATTGGGGGCTTGCTCTCAGCTCCAGGTTTAGTTTTGTCAGTGCTGCAGACAAGACTGAAGTGGCAAACTTGTTCTTCATCTTTTACTGCTGGCTGAAGACATTTCTGTTTGCAAGTACCATTCCTTTCCCATACTCCAGACAGCACTGCCTTCCCACCTCTGCAGCTGTGATACATGTAGATGTTTCCCCTCTTCCTATTGGGCCAAGGTAGATGAATTTGTTCGGAACATGAATGGAGCATTTAAACCAATTCAGCTGACTTTTGCCTGAAGTACCTCAGTGTTCTTATGAACCATTACAGCAACTATAAACAGTGGAAGCAGAAAGTTCCTGTGGGGTGTAGAGAGCTGTTGGGAAAATGGACGTCTGTAGTCCAGGCAAAGAATCTGATAAATCATATAAGCACAGCTGGGTTTAAACACATAAACAGTCTGGTTGACTTCAACAGGTTTCCTTGTGTGCTTATTTAAGCAGGTCTTTAAATGTTTTGGATAGGGGATCAAAAACTCAGCAATGGCAAGCTCAGACTATGGATGGTCTGTGGAGATCAAACAGTGCTTATCTCTGGGATAACATGAAGCCAGTACTGCTCTCTGCTTGATTGTCTGGGCTGGTTTTGCATAGCCATAGAGCAATTTTCCTGAGGAGCAAATAACTCTTTAGAACAAGTTCACTGAGTGAACTTAGGTAGCATACTCAATGCTAACTCAGTCCCCTTGAGCATGTACATTATCATATGATCTTTGTGTTTGTGTTATTCACTTGGTCAGACCCTTGCCTCACTGAGTTCTCCAAATGGGAAACTTTTCCATAATAAATAGCCATTTGGAGTCTTGTTTCAGGAGCTTTAGTGTTGGTTGTACAGCCTCATCCTGTACTTACTGTGCATTATTCTGATCCTACACTGACGATAGGATTGTTAACCCCCTTGTGGGCTTTTTATTTTTGTTTATTTCTATGCCATGAGAGCATTTCAGAAAATTTAATTATTTTTTCTGGGCACCTTCATGAGAGACAATTACATTGTACTTGTATGATTCGAGAACAGAGGCTGAGACAGGTACAGCAGAAGTACCTACTCATTTGACATAGATAATTTAAGATGACTGGAACCAGATTGGTTTCATGTCATTCACCTCTTTTTCTTTGCTTATTTTCATTGAAGCTGGAGACTTACATGCAAATGTTTCCAATATTAGACACTATTAATCTTGTGCCCTGACTGAGCTGGAAACTTGACAAACAAAAAATAAAACCAACACAAAATCCCCACCTACCTGATGTGTGCTCACTAATTATCACCTCCTTTGCCATGCACACATATGCCAAAGTCTTAAATTATTTTTATGTAGGAAACATTTCCCTTTCAATTCCTCGCTTTGAAGCATTGCTGCCTTTGCATACTTTCAATACCATTCTGAGTGAAAGCTTTCTTTGATTCAAAACCAAACATACAGCCAAAACGTAACGCCAGTGTGCTCAAGTCTGAGTCATCTGCTGGGCTGGAACCTTTGGATGCACCACACAGATACTTGCTACATGAGCTGATGAGTTTGCTGATGGCAATGTGCTGCTGCTATGGACTAGTGTGAGGGAGGAAAAGGGACGCTTTGCCTACGGGCTTTGTGGGCATCTGCTGACAAGGGAATTAATAAAAAGAAAGGATGAGTAAGCCTAATACTGCAGACATGGGGGGTGGCAGTTAAGGATGAATAACCACTTCTTTGGTTTTGAGAGATTTTTTAAGATTCCGTGTGCTGGCTTAGACTTAGACAAAAGCATCATAATTTTCAGTCTTGCTGCATCTGTGGAGGTCTTATTTTTGATCCACATAGATTTGGGTGTGCATGTGCTAAGACTACAGAAGACCTGACTTTTGTCTGATAAGTCAATGTAGGTCTAGATTGTTTGGCAGATAGCTGAATTTCTCTTCACAAGAATATATCTGCCTTCTTCCAAACATAATGGCTGTACTCTTTGTTGGTTCTATATTACAATCCACCT